CACATACACACACACACCTCCCACCATAATTACTTAATGGGAACTTGGGTAAATGTTCTTAAGTCCAAAACCATAAAAATTACTCCTAAGGGCAAAAAATGGGAGTAGTGATTATTAAATTATTGAAACATTATAGAACTTAATTCCAAAAATGTTAAAAATTTTCAGTTAAATGAACATTAATCTGGAGATCAATAAAATTACAAGAAATAAGGTAGATTTCTTTACTGAATAAGGAGATTAAAGAGAAACACAGTGTGACAGAATCTAGCAAAATAAAGAAAAGTTGTTGGTGTTGTTTTTTAATTCTCACTTTCTTAACTGCAGTTGAGAATTGTTTCTGTGCATTTAAGGAAATTCCTGTCTTCTCCTTACAGCTATAACATTCAGGCAAACCATCTAGAATCAGAAGATCCATGTATTTTAAAAATAAAATATTGTTTCAAGAAAGTATTTTCTGTTAAGCCAAAACAACAAACCCATTGCTGTAGAGTTCATTAGCAACCCTATAGGACAGAGTAGAACTGCCCCATAGGGCTTGCAAGGAGCAGCTGGTGGTTTTGAACTGCCGACCTTTTTAGTTAGCAGCCAAGCTATTAACCACTGGGCCACCAGGGCTCCATTTCCTGTTAAAGCACCATTATCTTTTTGTTATTATGACAATAATAAATTACAATAATAAATTCACATATGCTAGAAGACACAAAAAATATTTCTAGAGGCATCTTGCATTTTGAGAGCTGAAATAAATTTTAATTTTTTAAGGACTCTTTTACCCAAAATATAACAAAAATCAATGTAGAAATAGTATATCATTATCTCCTCTGTGTTTTAACACCACTTTGAATGTACCTCACAGGATTTTCTTCATTGTTTTGTATTAGGTTGAGTCACATGAAATTGCAGATATTCAATCATTTTGACCTACAAAAATGGAAATTTCATATGATTCAACTTAAACTTTAGCAGTTTACGTATTTGACTTGCTCACTAATTGTAAGTAACAAGGGACTATACTATTTGCCTCTCTGTCTCCGGCACCTAATACGCAGGCAAATAACAGACGTACCATAAATGATTACTGAATTTAAATGAGTAGATAAATGAGTTAACTGCTCTCAGAATTCAATACTTCTAAAATAAATCAGTAAAGAATGGGATGTTCCCCTACTTCCTTGGCATGCACCAGGGAAGGACAAATACTCCATTCAAAAGAAAGCTAGGTTTTTATTTTGTTTTGTATTTTTAAGTTGTGTTTAAACAATGGCAAATATCTAGATGACTGGCTATATATTTTACTATTCACGTGTAAATTTTGATTGTGTAGAAACACTTTAAAACTGAGATGTAATTACAGCTATCTAATATCTATTCTTTCTAAAAAAAAAAAAAAAAGCCATTGCCATTGAGTTGATTTTGACTTATCTAGACACATTATAAAACCAGTTGTCTTTGGATCAACTCTGACTCAGGCAGACCTTGTGATCCATAGAGCTTTCAATGGTTGATTTTTTGGAAGTAGATCACCAAGCCTTTTTTCCTAGGCACCACTGGGTGGACTCAACCCACAGCCTTTCAATTCGTAGTTGAGTGCATTAACCATTTGCACCACCTAGGGACTCCATAGAACATAAAAATAAAAACTAATTCAGTCCTGCCAAATGTTAGGATATAACAAATTTGTGAATTCTTGCACTGAAGTATTTCTAAACTTGTGGAAAATCATATTAATTTCAAAAGAATACATCGGAGAAACCTACCTCTCATTAGAACTAAGGCAAATAGAATAAAGTCATCTTTGGGGAAAACACAATACGCAGCAGGCTGTTGTTTAAACAACCTGAAATTTCTCTTTTTTTTTTCTATTTGTACACTTATAAAGATACCCATATTATCCCACTTCAAAAAAAAATATACTCTTTGTATTATTACTTTGTTGCCTATTGATCTATGTGGCTTTCTGTATGAAACAAAATCTGCTCTATAATAGCTTACAACACAGCAGGTCCATGGGAAAGAGAGCCAAGCCTGGTATCCAGCCCTGGCCGAAAGAGCAGACAACAAAGGTGCTTGGTTAGGGAATTCTGGTGCTCGAGATAACCTGGGAACTTTTTATTTTGGGGCATTGGGGCATTTTAGGAACAATAAAAGCTACCATTTCTGGGGCTCCTACTATGTATATGTGTGTGTGCATATGTGTATATACATATGTGTGTGTGTGTTTGTGTGTGTATATTAAAACAAAACCAAACCCCTTGCTGTCGAGTCGATTCCGACTCATATACCATATATATATTATGTACCATTATTTTAAATACATATTATATACCATATAAGCTATGTTCCATTATTTTATTTATATATATATATAAATATACACACACATATATAAGCCTTAGTGGCACAATGATTGAGCGTTCAGCTGCCAACACAAGGTTGGCAGTTTGAACCCACTAACGGCTCTGTGGGAGAAAAGACAATCTGCTCCCATAAAGATTACAGCCTAGGTAACACTATGGGGCAGTTCTACTCCGTCATATAGGGTTGCTATGAGTTGGAAGGCACACAACAACAAACATGTATATGTACACATATGTAATTTTATATGATCCTTACAACAACTCTGCAAGATAAATATTGTCATCCCCGTTTTACAGATAAGTAAACAGGCTCAGAGAATTTAAGCTATTTGTTTGCATCACTTAACTGGAATCCAGACCTTACTTTCTGCAAAGCCCATTAGTTTTCCACCCAGTGAGCCGCCGCCTGACAGCCTTCCATTCTCCCAGCAAATACTTTCAGGACTCTGCCCAGCATTGTACTAGGCAGTGTGCATTGGCCTTGTGAAGCTTAGAGTGAGGGAGTCATAAAATAGGCAAATAGCTTACCAAATACATATTGCCCAGTAATGATAAAGTGCTATGAAGAAAATCAAAACAATGTTAATGGAATAGCACCTGAGGGCAGCTGCTGTTTAGGTAGGGCTGTCTCGGAGAAGGCTTCTCTGAGGAGGTGCCATTTGAGCAGAACCCTGGATGAAGTAAAGGAGCGAGACGGGCAGTTAGTTAGTTGAGGGAACTGGTGAACAGCAAATATAAAGCTCTCAGGTGGCATCCTTGGGAATGCCCTAATGGGGCACCAGAGTGGGGGCATTCAGTCAAATTATTTTCTGTTAATTTATTTTCAAACAGATCCTGTTCAACCAAATCACCTGAAGCCTCCCAGGTTATTCTCGGGAACCTCTTATTCACCTCTCACTCACAGGGGCTTCTTGTGGGCATAAGAAAACAAGGTAATCAAGTCCCTTACTTTCTATGAATTCCTGCTACTTTGCCAGTTCAGTCACTGCGGGTGAGTGTAACACAGCTTTCTGTGGAATTGTTGCCCTCAGAACCTGGGTGGGCTCTAGGGCTCACTCTAAGCTCTGCAGCTGCCTCTAGAAATCCCAGACAGGCGCATCAGGAGTGAGCTTGATCAGACAAGGAGGAGTGTCTCATAGAGCAAGCCTTTAGGAGAGCAAGCAGTGAAGGAGGGCACTGCCCTTTGTCAGGGCTTTCAGCCATTTTTTAGCAAGCTTCGTATGTCTACAGTGCCTGAGCAGGCAGCAGGTCAGCCTCACAACATGGACCTCGCTTATGCTTTCTTACTCTTGACAGCCAAACCAGAGTTCCTTTATTTATTCAACAAATATCACTGTGCCAGGCTCTGTGCTCAGTTTTGGAGAGTATATAAAGATCAGTAAAATATAATTTCAATTCTCCAGAAGTTCAGGACCTAGTGAGGAAGATATACGACATGATAAATGGCAAATGCCATGAGTGGTACATGGTCTGCATGGTCTAAGTGCGGAAGAGCAAGAGAATACCTGTAGCTGAAGAGGTTAAATGAGACGTTAAAAATGTCTAGAACAGTGTCTGGCACTTAGTAAATATTCACTAAATATCATCTGTTACTATTACCATGATTGACTTCACATAAGATTCTGAGCCAAAGTAGTGTTACCAGATAAAATACAGGACTCCTAGTTAAATTTGAATTTCAGATAAACAGCAACAATGAAATGTTTAGTATAAGTATGTCCCAAACATTGTAAAGGGCACACTTATACTGAAAAACTGTTTGTTGTTTAACTGAAATTCAAATTTCTCTGGTAATCCTGTTTTCATTTGCTAAATCTGACAACTAGGAGAATTTTGCTATGGAGATGAAGACCAGGGAAAGTAAATTAGCATGTCCACAGGCACAGAAACAAGGAAGAAGTAGTACCTTTCACAGCCATGCATGCTCTCCAATGATAATTGTTAACACTTACTGAGTGCTTGCTATGTGCCAGTTAACTCCTCACAAAAACAAGTGTGGTAAGTTATCTCTATCCTCATTTTACAAATGAGGAAACTGAGGCATAAAGAGGTAATGTAACTTGCCCAAGAACAGAGAACTGGGAAATGGTCTAGCCAGGATAATGAACCAAGGCTGTTTGGCTCCAGGGGGCAGCTGTCTTAAGAAGACAGAAGAAACTAATCTGTTAAAGGTAAACTTCTAGAAGGCCTTCAGTGTCAGCCTATCACCATAATCATTGTTTTTTAAAGTCAGATATCCCAACCATAATTCCTACATAAAGTGAAATATCATTTGCAAAATCTCTACTTCACAGTGTGCTATAGCTAGCCTGCCTCAGCCACACCTTCCATATTCCTTTCAGTATTGAAGTAGGAGTATGTCCCCCTGTGTTCTCCTTTGCATTTCAAAATCACCCTGTTTTTGGAACATGGGATCTTCCCCTAACTGCTGGGTGGAGAATGAAATGTTACCTTTGCAACAGCTTATCGGAAGCAAACAAGCACAGGGAGGATTGAGCAAGAATTTCTGGGACTCCAACCTCACAGAAGGAGCAAGACACGTAGGGTGTGTGCACTGGTCTTCTACTTAGGACAAAGGTTATGATTAAGTAAACCTCCCACAGATTTAAATGGGATGGGGACCGGCAGTGAAGGCAAACCTCCTTTCTTTCAGCTGGAGTGCTTCTCATGAGCCAGTTCCACCCTTAGAAAAGATGGTTTCCGTGAGGCTCTTCTGCCTGGTCCTGAGTGTGGTGGGCACAGTATGGGTATGATCCCTCTATTTTCTTTTCTCTCTATCTCTCTGACGTTTATTCAACAAAGAACTTTAGGTCTGAGTCCACCCTACCTCTGTCCTAACACACTCAGCCTTATAATCTCTAGGCCATCAAGGCAAGTTCCTAGATTGGCTTGATACTTCAAGAGTACAGGGTAATGGAATCCCAAGAGTGTATAAATTCACAAGAGAAGCTTTAACGTCTGTAACTCAGTCTTACAACATTGCTTTAAGAAAAAAAAAAAGACGAGAAATCTTTGCCATCTTTGATGCCGTAAAGCTTCAGGGTTTGTAATTATAAATGGTGTTTAATGCCATTATAATGCTAGGTAACAGAACAAAACATTCCTATGATAAGAATTTTTCCCTGTAATTTCTTGCTATTTACCCACAATAAGTGGAACAGTTGGTTTTAGTATAGTTTTTTCTGAAAAGTTGTTTCTGTGTCTTTGAAGACAGAAAATACGAGCTATCCTCAAAAGCATTACATAGCAAAACCACAAGAAGTAAACTGATGAGGCAATGTGGCTATTTTGGAAGCAATTATATTCTTTTTAAGAAACTCCTAATTTTGCAATGATTTCTAAAATTTGTCTCCAGAGAACAGAAGCTTCATTCACAAGGCTTCTAAACCATGACAAATATGTTCAAGAAATTTAGTTACCTCCTGGTTAGTTATCCAGGATGTTAATTATTCTAATTTATTTCTTGCCCTTCACTGCTCATAAACCCTAATACCAGAAAGTAAACAGAAAAAGCTAAAGGTTTTCTAATTTAATTTTCTTCTTTATAGTAAAATAATAAATAAAAACTTTTGTAGCAGTAAAACAAATCATTTGCTAAAGTGATATTTTAGGTTATACATAGGTTTCAATTATTTCACCTTTATCCCTTAGCAGTTATTAATATTGGATATTTTGTCTATTCATTTGCTAAAGTGATATTTTAGGTTATACATAGGTTTCAATTATTTCACCTTTATCCCTTAGCAGTTATTAATATTGGATATTTTGTCTATTATTGTTATTGAACCATTTATTCTGAAATATACTTAAAGTTTTTATTTTCTTTCTTAGATAAAAGGATTGTGCTTATTCCTTTAAATAAATTGTTCTTGATTCCTTGAATTATCATTTGAATTTTTTAAAAAATGAGAACAAGACTGCAAGTGTTAATCAATTACAAGATTAAACTATTCTGGGTTAAAATAACAATCGCATTTTTTTTTTTTTATGTTGGTGATGTGGAATAAAAATAGCTAACACCTAAAATCCACATTCATTCATTAGAATATAAAGCCTAGTTGGAAGAATTATATCTTATTTCACTTTATGGATCAAAATAGAAATTTTTAAAATCTCTATTTCTAATTGTAAGGTATTTAAAAAGTTGTGATACATGGGCTATTATTTTGCTTTCAGTCTACTTTCTGCATTTCAAACAAAAAGCAATCGTTGCATAAGTGAGTATCCTAAAAAGCATTGCTGAGTCTAAATTGGCTGCGTTTGTATCCTTAGTTATATGCTTGCCCAAATTGTTGACCCATCTCTAAAGGTTATGGCTGAAATTTGAAGGAGAGCGGGAGATTATTAGGTAGTGTGGGTTTTTTCCTGCTGAATTTACGGGAGAAAGAACTCTTTGAATTTTCCAACTATTTTTCTATCACCAGACATTAATGAAAATGGAAAGGTAAAACTGACCTAGTTTTGTTGATTCAAATAATTTTCCTTATATAATGAATCCTTTAAAATGTCTACCATTTATTACATGCTTATTTAGTGTCAAGCACAGATAAGAAATTTGTACACCTTATCTCATTTAATTCTCATAAATGGGTATTAAGATTTTCTTTGGAAAGATGAGAAATACAAAGCTTATGGAGGCCCCAAAGCCGGTGGGTGGTGGGTGCTTTTAACCTCTGTGAGAGTCTCCTCTCTGCCTTGGGACCTGCAGGCATACCAGTGTTGTCTCCTCCTTAGCTGGCTAACTGCTCTCACTCTCTCTCATGTGTGTGTGAATCTTTAAAGACTGCAGATACAGGTGAAGTTGAATTTGTAGCTCATGGAGGAGGTGTACGTGGTCCAAGAATTGTGGAAAGACAGCAATCTGCCTGCAAAGAGACAGACTGGCCCTTCTGCTCTGATGAGGACTGGGTGAGCAGTAGGGATAGTGAGTGGGAGGGTCCTTCCCTGTGGTGCTAGAAGTGCTCAGAGACCAGCTGGTTCAGGAAACTTTCCCAATAGGAAATCATCTAATGGTTCCTTATATGCCAAACTAAAGAGGACAGGTGAAAAGAAACCTAGCCTCAAGATCACTGTTTTAATTACCAAAATGACTTGTACCTCCCAAATTGGATCCTTAGTGGGATTATTGGATTGGATTTAAGTTGCTTGTTTAGGCAAGTACTAGGAATCTGAGTATTGTAGCCTCAATATTTCATGGGACCTAATATATGGTCAAAGAGCCCTGATGGCAAAGTGGTTAAGCGCTTGGCTCCTGCTAACTGAAAGGTCGGTGATTCCAACCCATCGTCCACTCCACAGAAGAAAGATGTGGCAATCTGCTTCCCTCAAGATTAACCAAACTCCAAACCCATTGTGGTTGAGTCGATTCAGCCCTGGAAACCCTATGGGGCAGTTCTACTCTGTCCTTAACTGCGTTGCTATGAGTTGGAATCGACCCCACGGCAATGGATTAATATATGGTTAAATGGTTTTTCGATCATCTCTAACCCACTGTCTTAACCACTTTTAAGACAATAGATGATCTGAAGAGATGGGGGAGGGAAGAAACTGGGACAGTATGGAAACCGGCGAATGTTCTGGAGCCAATATAATTTTCCCCTTCACTTTCAGCACTACAAATGTCCATCTGGTTGTAGGATGAAAGGGTTGATTGATGAAGTCAATCAAGATTTTACAAACAGAATTAATAAGCTCAAAAATGCACTATTTGATTATCAGAAGAACAATAAAGATTCTAGTTCCGTGACAAGGAATATAATGGAACTTCTGAGAGGGGAGTTTGCCACTGCCAATAGTAAGTATTACATATTTATTACTTTGAATTTATTAAAAAAAAAAACAGCAAAAATCTTAAATAAATATGATGGCTTCTTATAGCTACTGAGATTTAGTTTCAAAGAACTTAGTGTAGAAACACTTGCCTCTATTATATCCCTGAATTTTAAGGAGGGCCCTTTTTTGTTGTTATTTTTATCACATAAAAAAAGCTTAGTTTAAAATTGTATAAGGTCACAAAGCAAGTCAGAATTTTGGATAGAAGACCAGAATGTACATGTGTTCTTTTCAAGAGAATATACTGACAATGAAATGGACCAGACCCTTTGAGTAGATATTTTTCTTCCAATCTTGCAGAAGAGGACACTGAGAGGTCAAAAGATTGCCCAAAGACACAAAGCCATCATGTGATGGAGCTGGGATCTGAACCCACAGATACCACCCAGCTGACTATGTAGATATTTTTGTATTTAAAATATAGAGCCACGCTCTAGCTTTCTCATAGGACACTCATTTGGAGAAATGTGCTGATTTTTTTTTTTTTTTTCCGTAAAGATGCACATTAGGAATAAGAAACATCAGATTTGCCCTGGGCGTGGGCATTATGTTGATTGTGGCCCCGATTCCTGAACCCTGCCTTAACTCTCTAGAGAGAAAATGAGACTCTCTCCTACTGGGACAATAGGAAAGGCAAACAAGGGTAAGGCCTTTAAAATGAGGCCTTAAATGATTTTTAAACAACAATGACTTTTCACTAAAAGCTATGAAAATTGTATCCTTAGGAGATACTTGAATACTTTAAAGTCAATGGTACAAAACTAGCTGGCAAGGGAGTGATCCTGTTGACAGAGGTGTCGTGAGCGGAGGGGTGTGGGGGGTGGGGCACTTGCCCCAGGGCAAAAGTCCAAGAGGGCACCAGATGAGGCGTGAAATGACATTCCTAGGCGCCACAAATATGATAGGCGCCCGACTGAGGTAGGTGGACAAGACAGGAGAAGGCATTTCTGCTGAAGGTCACTGCTATCAATACCTATTCATCTTGAAATTTGGTGGGGGGGTGCAATTTAGAGATTGCCCCTGGGCACTCCTTACCCTCACTATCCCCTGCTGTTGACCCTACGAACATCTAGGAATCATTTCAAATCTACAGATAGGAGCAAAAATGTCTCAATAAGAAAATTCAGTAATATGTTCAAGTTCCCTAATTAATGACATGATAAAATAATTGGAACGTGATGGAACTGATTGCTTTATCCCCTAACTACACCTTTAAAATTCCAAAGAAACTCCTTCCTCTTTATTTATTTGGATTGCTAATTGCTAACTAGGCATCTTACATGGCATGCAAAGATGACAGCAGGACATAACACTGAACAAAAATCAAATGTCTAATAGATGTGGATTTCACAGAGTACGTGTCCATAAAGACTTTAATCAAAATAAAATGGAGAATATTTATAAGCACTTTTCTTTTTTTGCTGGCTATTACAAGCAAGCAAAGCACTCAGCAGCTACTTCATTACCCACATTTTCTATTTCAGACGATGATAATACATATAACCAAGTGTCAGAAGATCTAAGAAGCAGAATTGAGGTTCTAAAGCGCAAAGTCACAGAACAAGTACAGCGTATCCAGCTTCTGCAGAGAAATGTCAGGGCCCAGCTGGTAGATATGAAACGACTGGAGGTAAGCATGCGGCTCTGAGGCCAGATTTCCTTGTTTTTGAATAGCAGGAAAAAGGAAGGCAAGAATCACTTATAGATGTCTATTATATGTGGAGCTAAGTGTTATATTCATTGCTGCTGTTGTTAGTTGCCATCAAGTAGATTCAGACTCATGGCGACCCCATGTATGCAGAGTGGAACTGCACAGGGGGTTTTTAAGGCTGTGACCTTTTGGAAGCAGATTGCCAGTTCTTACTTTCAAGGTGCCTCTGGATGTGTTTGAACCACAAACCTTTTGTTAGTAGTCCAGCACTTAGTCATTTGAGCCACCCAGGGACTCCTTTATCTACCTACAAAGTAGGTATTTATTATTTTACCTACTCTGCAGATGAACAAGCAAGCTCAGAGATATTAAGTAAATTTTCCAAGGGCCCATGTACAGTAAATTTCAAAAGAAAATGTTGAGTTCCTGTTTGTCTGATTGCAGAGCCCTTGCTCTGTGCATGACACCACCACGCTTCTGAGTCTTCAGCCTCAATCTCACTGAGGATCACTTAATTGGAGTTTCTTTTCAAAGGGAATGGCACCTTACTCTTGATCCATTCTAAGTTTCAGATAAATCCAAGTAACTCCCATTGCTTGTTGTGACTAGCCTTACAGGGAGAAAGGATACAAATACTCAGCATCTCTTCTACTGGATATGCTACATAAATGGAAAATAATGAGTATTGGTTAGTAGGTCTCCAAATCAAAGAAATGAAGCTCGTTTCCAAAAATTAAGTTAACTACCAGGAACTCAACAGATATAGTTTATTTGTTTATATCTACTTTTTCTCTTTATCTTTCTCCCCTTTTTTCTAGGTGGACATAGATATTAAGATCCGATCTTGCAAAGGGTCATGTAGTAGGTCTTTATCTCATGAGGTAAATCTAAAGGACTATGAGGATCAGCAGAGGCAGCTTGAACAAGTCATTGCCAAAGACTTACAGCCCTCTAAAGACAGGCAATACTTACTATCGATAAAAATGAGCCCAGTTGCAGACTTAATTCCTGGAGATTTCAAGAGCCAGCTTCAGAAGGCCCCTCCAGAGTGGAGGGCACTAGTGGAAATGAAGCAAATGAGAATGGAGTTAGAGAGGCCTGGTGGAGATGGGAGTGCCAGAGGAGACTCTGCATCTTATGGAACAGGATCAGAACCTGAAAGCTCCAGGACCCCTGGACGTGGTAGCACTGGACATTGGAAACTTGAAAGCTCTGAACATGGTAGCTCTGGTACTTGGAAACCTGGGAGTTCTGAACCTGGAAGTTCTGCCACTTGGAAGCCTGGGAGCTCTGGATCTGGAGGTTTTGGGTCAGATAGCACAGGACATGGGAACATTAGGCCTATCAACCCACAGTGGGGTGAATTTGAAGAAGTGTCAGGAAGTGTAAGTCCAGGGACAGTGAAAGAGTTCCACACAGGTAAACAAGTCACTTCTAAAGGAGATAAAGAGCTCCTGGTTGGTGGTGAGAAGGTCACCTCTGGTAGCACAACCACCACTCACCGTTCATGCTCTAAAATCATTACTAGGACTCTTATAGGTGCTGATGGTCACAAAGAAGTGACCGAAGAAGTGGTGAGCTCCAAACATGGTTCTGACTGTGGTGACGCAACGGATTTAGACATGTTCCATTCTTTGACTGGCAGAGGTAGCCTGGATGAATTTCGTCTTAGGCACCCCGATGAAGCTACTTTCTTTAAAACTAGCTCAACAGGAAAAACATTCTCAGATTTATTTTCATCTACACTCGAAGAGTTTGGAAGTAAGAGCCAGTCTAGGGGCTCAGAATCTGAGATTTTCACAGACTCTGGGGTACCTGAGCTCCCTTCTGGTGGTAAAACTTCAAGTCACAGCAAACAATCAGTAACCACTAGCGAAACTTTCAGCAAAGGAGGCTCCACATTTGAAACCAAAGCCTATAAAATGGCAGAAGAAACTGGAAGTGAAGACCACAGAAGCGTGCATAGCACCATGAGAAGCCATACTAAAACTCGTCATGCCAGAGGTATCCACACTTCTCCTTTCAGGAAGCCTTCCCTGACCCCTTAGACTAGGCTATTCCTGCAATGTGCTGCCATAGCACCTTGTACTTTTCCCCTAACCTTCTATCACACTCTATTGAAACTGCACCTTTATTTCTCTGATTTTGTTGCTAGACTGTAAGTTCCATGAGGGCAGGGGCTTTGTCTATCATACTCATCTCTGTGTTCCTGAGTGCCTAACAATGCAGAGAGCAGTACTCAATAAATACTTGTTAAATGAATGAACGAATCCTTCTGAAACTTGGTTTTGAGTTTGTTTAACCAAATTCCTTCACCATTCAAAATGTGAACTCTTGCTGTTGTCACTCATTTTATTAATCAGGTTTTTAGTGTGTATCTCAGTTGACATTTAGGTCAGGTTAAAAACAAGCTATATTCCTATTAATTGATGCTTACATATCTTTGCTGGTTATTTGCTTTATGTGCAAGTGAAATTCCAGTTCCACTGAGGAAAATCCCCTCATTTGCATTGGGGTAGGTTCTATCCCAAAGTCAGTGCATCCTTTCCTCAGGGAAGGAAAGAAAAGAAAGCCAGTATCTACCTTCATTTAAACTGGGCCATGCCTATTTTTATAAAGCTAAATGAAAGTAACTTCTTCCAACCAGCTCAATTTTTTTTTTTAGACTGTGATGATGTCCTCCAAACACATCCTTCAGGTGCCCAAAGTGGCATTTTCAATATCAAGCTACCAGGATCCAGTAAGATTTTTTCTGTTTATTGCGATCAAGAGACCGGTTTGGGAGGATGGCTTTTGATCCAACAAAGAATGGATGGATCACTGAATTTTAACCGGACCTGGCAAGACTACAAGAGAGGTTTCGGCAGCCTGAATGACAAAGGGGACGGAGAATTCTGGCTAGGCAATGAATACCTCCACATACTAACCCTAAGGCACTCTGTCCTTCGGGTTGAATTAGAGGACTGGGCGGGCAAAGGGGCTTATGCAGAATATCACTTCCGGGTAGGTCCTGAGGCTGAAGGCTATGCCCTTCATGTCTCCTCCTATGAGGGCACTGCGGGGGATGCTCTGGTTGAGGGTTCTGTAGAGGAAGGGCCAGAGTACACCTCTCACGCAGACATGCAGTTCAGCACCTTTGACAGGGATGCAGACCAGTGGGAAGAGAACTGTGCGGAAATCTATGGAGGAGGCTGGTGGTACAACAACTGCCAAGCGGCCAATCTCAATGGCGTCTACTACTCTGGGGGCTCCTATGACCCGAGGAACAACAGTCCTTATGAGATTGAGAATGGAGTGGTCTGGGTCCCCTTCAGAGGAGCAGATTATTCCCTCAGGGCCGTCCGCATGAAAATCAGGCCACTGGTGACCAAGTAGATTGAAGAGAGTGGGAGAAGGAGCACTGTTATTAAAGTAGGAGGAAAAAAAGTTAAGAATGATAAAACAGTCAAGATTCTTTACAATCCACTAAAAAATTCCCAGGTGCTATTCCGTTTTTCTTTGTACTGTAGCTAAATGTAACTGAGATATATTAGTGCTTTAAAAAATAAAGTTATGTGAGTTTTTAAAATAGCTCTGTGGGTTTTTAAATTATTATAAAGTTATGTCAAGGGACATTCAGTACATCTGAAAGAGAGCGTCAGATGGATATGCCGTTGTGCAACTCTGAGGACATTGTTTTGAAACCTTCCTCCTCTTCCTTCACCACCCAAAGTCATAAAGTCATTGTAAAGTAAAAAATTGTTTCATCCATTCATTTTGAATGATTTTAAAATAATATTTTAAGTCAAAACTCACTGACTTGAATAACGGCTGGCCTTTGAAGAGGAATTTACAGTTTACAAGTATGTTCAACTCTTCTGCTGTTAGCAAGCAAACCCAGGTGTGCAGGAAGAGCGTTCCTTCCTAATAGAAATGAAAATCTGTTCTGCAGGTCTTCCACAGGAGACCATAACACACACTTTCTATGTTTTCCCCCATGGTCTCACCAACTTCTTTCAAAAATATATGAACAAATGCACTTACAATATTTGAAATATTTACAAACATTCCAAAGACATTAATTAGATTTACGCATTGATAAACAATGCCCCCAGAATTTATTTGACTACATTTTTCTACCAACAAAAAAGAGTATTATTCTATGATACATTGGTTGTTTTAAAAAGTAAGACATTTGTTTGAAAACATCTCATTAAATATGATCCATACCAGATTCATACAGTGAAGATATTTACATTAGTCAGATAATTTATTTGATCCAAGTTGCATTTTCAATCTTCTTGACCTTTGCTCCTGACCCAGATTTTTAACTCTTATTCCCCCACAGCAATTATTTTCTGCCTAGTGCATCCCCTAGTGAAAACTACCTGCCATTTACACTTGAAAATGTATTAAAATTTCCCGAGCAATCCATTAAATTTCCCTCACTTAGCTTCTATCCCAAAGTAAGTGTATCCTTTCTATTAGGAAGGGAGGAGGGAAAGAGGAGGAAGGAAGAAAGGAAGGAAAGAAGGAAGGAAGGAAGGAAACAAGCTAGGGCTGGGTCCCAGATCCTGGGTAACAGAGGAGAGGAGAGCATAAGAGCTTGTAAACAAATCATACCACAAAGCCCCAGTATTCTTGCATTCCTTTTGTGGATTGAAAATCCTTGACACAAATAAGTAGTCTTCGCATAATTGAATAAGAACTTCTTCAGAATTAAAACAGCCTTCATTTCTTTCAGGCACCAAAGCTCCATGCTATCTCTATCTATACCCCACTTACTCTCGCATACGTGTCCATGGAATTTGAATTGTAAATAGGAAATATTTTATTTTCCAGATAACCGAGCTGTTAGGGACAGACCCAGGACTCAGAACGAAAGTGACTCTGAATGGGTGGGGTCATTTATTTCTAATGTACTTCAAAGGCTTTGAGTTTATTAGCAAATGATTAGGTAAACCTCTTTTAATTTCATAAGTAATAGCCAATATTAACAGAATCAAGATAATAGGAGAAGATGTAGTTGGAGCCCTGGTGGTGCAGTGGTTAAGAGTGCTGGCTGGTAACCAAAAGGTTGGCAGTTCGAATCAGCTGCTCCTTGGAAACCCTATGGGGCAGTTCTGCTCTGTCCTATGGGGTCGCTATGAGTCGAAATTTTGTTGGTAATACTTTACCTTTAACCTACTTCCCGTCTTACTGAAATTAACTCTCATTCACCCTGAAACCCATTTCGACTTGGTTGTCACTGTTCCCTCTCTCCTGAAACCATTACGCCACTAGGGCTCCTCTCTTGAAACTGCTCTCTTTAAAGTCAACAGCAACTTTGTAATTCTAAATTAATGCTCTAACGTTCAAGCCTCTTCCTATTTGGTCTCTCTTAAATATCTGTTACTATTGCACTAATTGTACCTGTTGAATCTTTTTCTTTTGGTTTCTCCAGTTCTACTGCCTCCTGTGTCATAAAGATGGCGTTTTTTTGTTTTTTTTAACCGTCAGTTTCTTTCCAGACCACTCTTTAAGTATAGGGGTTTCTCATTCCAACTCATTTTTATCGGTTAGGATTAGGTTTGGCCCATATGGCTTACACAAGGCAGAAACTTATTTCTTGTTCACAGAATAGTCTAAAGGCATAGTCTTTAGGAAGCCATCATCCTAGTGAATGACTTTTATCCTCAAGGTGGAATGGTGTCCTTGAGGCAGGCTGGAAGAAGGAGGAAAGGCAGAAGAGAAAAAGTGTAGCTTCTCTTTTTTAAGGAATTTTCCTGGATATATAACACCTCCACTTGTATCCCATTAGCCACTTATTCACATAGACATACCTAGTTGCAAGAGAGGCTGAAACATAATGACTTTTAGTTTGGGTACAAGACTATCCTAATTAAAATTAGAATTCTGTTAATGAAGAGGAGAGGGAGAATAGATGTTGAAGTAGGCAATTAGCAGTCTTGGTCAAACCATCTTTTCTCACTCTATGGTGAGTACACTTTCTCCTTGGTTGATCTGCCTATCACCGTGACTTCAACAACCAACAATAGGATGATGCTAGACAAATCCAAGACTCTAGCCCTGACCTTCATATTCATACTTCTAACTCATACTGATCATATTCAGTTAGCTATTTCCCATTAAACTGGCTAAGACTGAACTTACTATCTTCCCATTAGAACCTATTGCATCTTCTGTATTTCTTATCCTAATCAGAGGCATCATTAGCCCTCTAGTTTCCTAAACTAGAAAACTTAGGCTCCCCTTCAGCTTCTGCTTTACCCCTAGTCCCCATATCCAATCCATTCCCAAACCATGTTCTACTGTAAAGATGGCCTCTCCTCTCTAACCACACTTCCATGCTTTTATGTTAAGCTTTTATCTTTTCACACTTGGGCTGTTTAAGGGACTCTTGTCACATTGCTGCCAGTCTCCTGCTTGTTCATGCTCCACGAGGTTATCTTCCAAAAAATAAATGCAATGAGCATTCTCCTGAATAAAGTCTTCTTTTAAGGGAAGGTTAAAACTTCTTAACTTTGTATATAAGCCATTTCACAAACTGTTTCCTTTTCAACCTCTGCAGTCATTCACTCTATACTTCAATTACATTGAATTTTCACTGGCATCTGAATACGAGGTCTTTTAATGATTCTGTGCGTTTTCATATTCTGCCTAGAAGATGCCGCTTCATCCCTTAAGAAACAGCTCAAATAATGCTCCTTCTGCAACGTCTTCCCTAATGCCCAACCAAGCAGAATTTATAACCCTTGTTCATACCTCAAAAATAACAGTCTATCCCTAACTCCAACATATCTGTTGAAGTTTATTATGGAACTAGATTGTGAATTCCTTTAGGGAAGAGGTCATTTTTGTAATGTTTCCTGTCCTATTTAAGAATGTCTCATCCACTCCAAGATTATAAGGGTAAGTAAAAAACTTTTTTTCTTTTACAATTACGCATTTAATTTATTTGGAGTTTATTTTACTATGTTATGAACAACAACTACAACAACAAACAGAAAACTCATTGCCATCAAGTTGATTCCAACTGATTGCAACCCCACATGCTATGAAGTAAAACTTCTCCATAGGGTTTTTTTGGCTATAATGTTTAAAGTCAAGGCCTTTCTTATTTAGCTCCATTGGGTGGGTTCAAACCATCAATCATTAGGTTAGCAGTCATGCACAAACATTTTGCACCACCCAGGGGCCTTTAATATGTTATGAAGCAGGGCTCTCATCTTGTTTTTTTATAGTTGGATAGCCAGAATCACTTGTTAAAGAAAGCATTCTTTGCCCATGGAATTGAATACCAATTTTGTTGTCTCACAATTCTCTTGGATCTATATATAGACTTTCACTTCTGTGCTTATATTTCCTTACTCATCTTTAAAATTACACATTTATAAATTACATGCTTTAAAATATACATAAACATATTTAAAATTAATAATTAAAAGAAAGTTAATAGTTGAAAAATGACTCATTCTTACCCCCTAAAAATGTAACTAATTAGAAATTAAGAAAGGCTCTTCTAAGTAGCCCCTAGAGAAAAAAGAAGTGAAAATTTAAAGTACAATTTTTCTAGACTAAAAAAGTTGACGAGGGGAAGAGAATATAGTACTTCATCCAAAACTATACTCAAAAATTTCATGGTATGAAATTGTACCTAAAACCAAACCAAACCCACAGCCTTTGAGTTGATTCCAAGTCATAACAACCCTATAGGACATAGTAAAACTGTCCCAGAGGGTTTCCAAGGCTGTAAATCTTTACGGAAGCAGATTGCCACATTTTTCTCCTTTGAAGCCACGGGTGGGTTTGAACCATCGACCTCTTGGTTAGCAGAACTGCCTGACTTTGGGTAGCAGCAGAACACTTTAACCACTTTGCCACCAAGGCGCCTATGAAATTGTATATAGGATTATTTAAATATTCTATATCTTTTCTTATTTTAAATAATTAACCTATCATTCTAAAATATATATATGTATGTATACACACAGTCATATTTGTGTGTGTGTCTATATGTGTATATTTAGGCCTTGCTCTGTGGTTTTGCATATGTGTGTGGTCTCTTTGTAGTCTAGAAGTTTTGCTTTGTGTAGTTGACTATGGTATTTTCTAATGCATGAAAATCTATGACCATTATGTCTTTTCCATGGGATTTTTTATCATAACATAATGTCTTTTTTTTTCTTTTCATACTTTTGGAGTTGAATCCCACCTTGTCTAATTAAATATTGTCATCACATCCACTTTCTTTTTCTTTGCATTTGCCTAGTTATTTTTGCTTGTTCCTTGATTTTCAACATTTGTGTATCATTTTATTTGGAAGACTTTTCTAGATATAAGAAATAATTTTTAAGTCAATTTTATTTTACATTTACTTTTTTCCTTTACATTTTTTCCCTTTCCTTAACTCTTTGCATGCCCCTTTATTTTCAAATTTTATCACTTTA